GCAGGAAAAATATTTCAAAACTAATTTTAATTTTTTATTTTCTGTATTCTCAACTATAGTTTAAAATTCTTTTTGGCTTATCATAATGCTGCTATGGGACAAAATTCAAAATACTTTACTATTTATATTTTTACAATAGTGTAACCATCCTTAAGGATAAAAATATGTCAATATAATAAGACCAAATACCTCAGTTAGACATTGATTTCTTATCATGAGAAATAAATGTTTTGCAGATTTTCCCCTGGATTCAGACAAGTTTAGGGGGAAAATAAATATGAAACTGCTTAATAGCTTTGTATTTCCCCAGATTTTAATGCAACAGTAGTAGTGTCACTAGAAGAAATGAAAACATACAGCTTAAATAACATTGACATTCTGAGCATATACTTACATCCATAATAAATTTGCATATATATTTTTTAATTCTTCAGAATTGAATTTAAATTTATTCTGTTGTTATTCTTTGTGACATCTCTTGGCATTCTTGTTTATCATACAGAACCCCCAAAAGTGATAGCAGGGCCACCGTAAGTGACTGTGAATGTTGGAGAGATCAGGGACACTTTCGGCTCTTCACTGTCCCTTCCATTTGTACATTTTCCTCTGACTCTGAACAAACCCAAGTCACAGTCATAATTTTTGTGTGGGTAACAGGATTGTTGATCAGCAACACAATCTTTCCAGGTCATTTTTCCAAAATTGGACTCATTTCCAGCCTGGTTTTCTAAAGTCATTTAACATTCCTGTAGTTCAGCTAGCGCACTTACATAATTTAGACAACAGCAGAGTGAATATTTTAATTTCTAATTCCTTTGATCTCAATGAAGGAATGAAACAGAAAAGTATGGTTATACCATTGCTTATTAATGTTTTTGTGTGCATTTGGGTTAGAGATGAACGAGATTATTTTAAACCTTATTGGAATTGTGTATCACTGTTTCTTATATTTAACTTGTAACTATATAATTATGTTTTATTTTTATGCAGGTACAGCCTGACAATTTGGACTGGAAAAAATGATGACTATTCCATTGAAGATTTACTTTATATTAGAGATAATTTTGCCAAAAACCAGGTTTTCTATGACATCTTAGAACCACAAAACCATGAATTTAAACAAACCATTGGTATCAAAGTTAATCTCTAAAAAGAGGATTCTTCTAAATCATTTTCTATATTTTCATTTCATAATCCTTTTCTGCTTTGGTCTTAATTAATTACCATATAAGTTATGGTTATTGGTTTATGCTGCAATTTACCCAGTCAAATGCTTACTGTAAGCTTACCCTTTTAGGCATACATCTTTATAATATTGTGCTTACCTAAAAGATTTAGAAAGAAGAGATTTTATTTGAACCAGTAATAATTTAGGAAAATGATACTCTGAACTTCATGAAAAATAATTTTTTATATACTGAAGGTGCATGAGAGAATACATGTATATCGTAGCACAGGTATAAATCACAATTTATTGACACTTGCATTACAGAGATTCCAAAGGATGTGGGGCCATATTTTTCCTGGAAAAATATTATTACAGAGATAAAAAAGTAAAATAGCTTTAATTAAAAAAAAATTTTTTTCAGCGAGATTTTTGCTAAAGGGCACGTGCACTCACTGGAAAGACAGAAACAGTGAGAAATCACCCATGCCTCAACTCCTTCTCCTCCATTCTTTTCTTGGGATTTTGGGCACACACGCACACATGCCTGGAATGAGTTTGAAGCTACCAGTCAGGGACTCAAACCATGGTCGACTGCGTGGGAGTCCAGCGATGTAACCATTACACCATCCCAATGTTTTTAACTTTCACAGAGGTGAGCAACTTTCTCTATCAGGATAAAATCCATCTCTTGAAAGTATAAATTAAAATTCAAGATGAATTTAGAATTTCCATGTTGTTGGAAAGGGTCTTGGTAACCAAGTAGACTTACTGTAATCTTTGTTTCTATCATAGCATCTTATCTGTAGTGAGCAAGAAACTATTGGGGAGCAGAATTTTAAACCTTGGAATAATAATGGGTTGTTGGGAAAGTCATGAAGCCTTTTTGCATTAAAAAAAAAAAATCAGGAAAATATATCATGACTTTTCCGACGATCTAGTAGTTCTCCAGGTTCCTTACTACCACCATTCAGGTCCTTGTTCTACTAGGAGAATTTCATTAACTACTTCTTCATGCCTTCCTTCCTCACACTGCCCTCAGAAACCTTGAGTTTTTCTGCTAACCAAACCTTTCTTAACATCTCTTCCTTTGTGCCATCTCAAAAACTTCCAGGGACTTAAATTCAGTTTTACCCAATTTTTCTCTTTCAAGATGGTTCATAATGTAGTCCCACTCAAAGTAAACCCACGATGCTTCATTGCAATAATTCACATGTCAACAGTCTTTAGATATTACTTGAACAGTTCATTTTAACTGTTAATAGTGTTCACTAATTGCGTCATGCATGTTAGTCATGTCTCTCAGCTAGATTGAAATTGCCTTCATAGTAAGGATGCACATTTAAGTATCCTTTACAGTGCTTGGCATGGTCTTAAGCAGAGCACTCAGAAAATGCATTGTTTCCCCCCAGACAATAAAGTCGTTCTAAATAGAGAAAAGAACTTGGATTTTGAATTCAGACTGACTTCCTTTAACAGCCCCACCTCTATCTCCTATCTAGGCATAGAATATGAGATCTCCTTAATACTATCAACTCCTGGCTTGCTCGCTCTCGCTCGCTCTCTCTCTCTCTCTCTATATATATATATACTTTTTTAAACTGAGGTGGCCTGTTGCAGCAGGGTGTGCACTCACCAGAGAGACAGACAGAAAGTAAGAAGTCACCCCCTGGGGGGATGGCCACACTGCAATTCCTTCTCCTCCGTTCTCCTCTCAGGATTATTGGCATGCACACATACATCCAGTGTAAACCACCAGGTCTGGAACTCGAACCATAGTCGACTACGTGGGAGTCCAGCAACATAACCATTATGCTAGCTACTGGTCCCCACTCCTTCTATAAAAAGGGGGGATAAGGGTGGGAATAGGAATATTTTTGTAGGGTGTATGAGAATTAAGAGAAATATCATGAAATAGAGACATCTAGTGCGGTGCTGTTCACATCCTAAATGCTCAGCAGGTAAAGTCAGTTCCTTCTAGACTTATTATGTGATTATATCCATTATTACACGATTATATCCATTATAGACAGACAGATAGCTCTAAGAGATATAACATGAAACATTGCAGTCATAGAGGCAGTAATTATAATAGTTTCACTTTAAATTTCAGCTTCGGTCAAACACAATGCTGTTTATTAAATAACACTTAGAACTTCATTTTCTGTGGTTATTTGCCAAAGGCAAAAGTTGCAATTTCATTATAAAATTTTAACAACTGCAATAAAGAATAGTTTTTAGAGGGCCACAGGTGGTGTGGTAGTTGAGAGCACTGGACTCCCCCATGGTCGACCACAGTTTGACTCTTGGACATGGTGACTTGCTTTCTCACTTTCTCTCTCTCTCCCTCTCTGGTCAGATTAAAATAAGATCAATCAATCAATAAAGTTAAATAAAATAATTCTTTAAAAAAATAACAATTTTAAAATTATAGTGAAACATTTATATATTTTCCATAATGACCAGGCATTACTTTTTAAAATATTTAATTTTTATTTGTCATTATTATTATTATTTTTATTTTGCTACAGGGCACACACACTCACCAGACAGAGATAGGAAAAGAATGCAGGTCACCAGATCTGGGACTTGAACCATGGTTGGCCATGTGGGAATCCATCACCTTAACCACCATGCCACCTTTTGTGACCAAAACCATGTATTACTTTGTTAAAAAAAAAAAAAAAGAAAGAAAGAAAAAAGAAAACCTTGAATTTAAATAAGCTGGTTTTTGATAAAGTTTGAAATAAATTTATTTCTCCAAAATATTGTTACTATTTAATTGTTTCTTGTTGATATTTTAAAATTATATTATAGTGATTTAAAAAAAATTATCCATTTATTATTTATTTATTTATTTAATTTGACCAGAGAGGGGGAGAGAGAGAGAGAGAGAGTGAGAAAGTGAGAAAGTAAGCTGCCAGGTCTGGGACTCAAACCGTGGTCAGCCATGTGGGAGTCCAGCATCCTTAAACACCATACCACCTGCCAGCCCCAACAGTGATTTTTTTTTAAATTGAGAAATCTATAAACTGAATGTCACTTAAGATTAAGATTTTGAAGGTAGATTTAAATTTAAATTCTCAGGAACAAAAATATACAAGAGAGGGACCAGCAGTTAGCATAATAGCTATGTTGCTGGACTCCCATGTAGTCGACCGCAGTTAGAGTCCCGTACCTGGTGGCTTAAACTCACGCTGGGCGCGTGTGCATGCATGCCCAAGATCCTGAGAGAAGAATGGAGGAGAAGGGATTGGGCTTTCTGTCTCTCTGTCTCTCTCTGTCTTTCTGGCTAACGCATGCGCCCTATAGCAAACACCTCTAAAAAAAAAAAAAAAAAGAAAAGAAGAATATGAATAGATACTCAACAGCACTACTTATCTAGAATAGGCAAATTTAAATCACAATGAAATGCCAATATGTACATACTAGAAAGGCTAATTAATACTATAAGGACTGACAATACCTTTTTAAAAAAATAATTATTTTTTATTTATTATTATTATTATTTTTCAGTTTGACCAGAGAGAGAAGGAAAGTGAGAAAGGAAGCCAGCAGGTCTGGGACTTGAACCATGGTTAGCCATGTGGGAGTCCAGCACCCTTAACCACCACCCTATGCCACCTGCCGGTCCCTCATGGACTGACACTACCTTTAAGAAAAAAGGAAAAGGTTGTGGTGGTTTCTAGTAAAGATAAATAACGCTTAAAACCCAGCTATTCTAACTGTAGGAATATACTTCAAAAGAGACCATATATTCACATGAAAAGACTCATAAAAGAATGTGCATAGAAGCTATATTCTTAATTGCTTAAAACTAGAAATGACCCAAATTTTCATCAACAAGAGTGATAAATATTGTTAGTCATACAACAAACGTGCTACACAGCACTAAAATAGTTTAAACTTCTGAAACAATAAGGGTGAGTTAAAAATGTATTATGCTACAGAAGCAGACACAAATGAGTACATACTCTAAAAATCCATTTATTGGGACCAGCAGATGGCATAGCAGTTACGTCACTGGACTCCCATATGTCCAACTGTGATTCCAGTCCCAGACCTGGTGACTTGAAAAATCACACCGAGCATGTGTGTGTGTGTGCCCAAAATCCTGGGAGGAGAATGGAAGAGAAGGCATTGTGGCATGGCCATCCCCTCTGGGGAGTGATTTCTCACTTTCACTCTCCCTATGTCTATTTCTCTCTCTCTCCCTGGCAAGTGTGTTCACCTTACAGCAAAAATCTTAAAAAAAAAAAAATAAATCCATTTATGTGAGGTCCAAGAACAGCTGAACTTAATTTGATAGAAGTCAGAATAGTGATTACTTATGGGATTGGATGGGGTCTTGTACAAGATGGACATGTGGGAACTTTTTCAGATGATGAAACTGTTCTGTGTTCTGTTCTGGGGTGATTGTTTTGATGTATACATAGGTAAAAAAATGAGTTGTACATTTAATATTTGTCCATTTTATTGTATGTAAAATATACATTAATTTAAAAAAATATTTTTAAAACGCCTTGATATACAAAAATACAATAGAACACTATGTAGGTCCTGAAAAATCTACCTTTATTAATGCGGAAAGATGCTGTAACATTGTTGTAAGTTGTACACGAGCACGTATGGTATCACAGTTATGTAAAATTGTATGTCTCTATATGCATTTATGAGCATAGAAAATTTTTGGAAAGAAGCTCCCACTCGCAGTGTCTAAGTACTACTGTCTGTCCCCTCCAGGCTCTCTAATGAACTGGTGTTGAGATCATTGCATCCGAAGGCTATTTCCCAGAGACTGGCAGAGCAGTCCTAACCCTAGAAGAGACTTTGATAAGGTATCTTGATTGTTCAAAAGTTCAGAGCTTTTAAAAAGTACAGTAGCTTATGCCCCTGTAAGAGTGAGGCAATTGCTACTTAGCCAGATATGTAATCTTCTATCCAATGGGAAATTACTGACATTCAAAACAGCTTGTATATTTGCCTTTTTGTTGGACTTGAGGTTTGGAGGATTTTGTTTTTGTTCTTTTTTTTCTGTGACTAAAATTAAATACCTAGTGAGTATAGAAACATGCTTTCTCTCTCACCTTGTTACTTAAGATGTGAGCCTACCTAGAAGAAACCAACAATCTACTTATAATCATAAATGAGGGGCTGGGAGGTGGAATGGTGATTAAGGCGCTAGACTCCCACGTAGCTAACTATAGTTCGAGTCCTGGACCTGGCTGTTTGCTTTCTCACTTTCCCTCTTACTCAGTCTGTTCAAATTAAAAACTAAAAGGGATCAGCAGGTGGTATGGTGGTTCAAGGCACTGGACTTCCACACTTTCCCTCTTTCTCTCTCTCTCACTCTGCCCCTCTCTAGTCGAATTTTAAAAATTAAATAAATAAAGTTAAATAAAATGATTCTTACAATAATAATAAAATTATGTAAATATTTCTT